CATGCAACACCCGCTGAGTGGCATTAAACAGCTTGAAAGATCAAAGACAATTTTTAATATAACTCTGATGGATCATATACACCTAGGATGACTTGAGAGTGAGTATTTTATGGGCTAATTTTCATTTTTGGGTGAACTAACCCTTTAAGCTGCTTGAGCCCTAGAGATAAATGCAGTTTTCACTGTTGTTGATCATGAGGTGTGTTCCATGATTGTAGTATCTACATTTATTTTCAATGAAGTTATTTGGAAATAAGACACCTCTATCCTATACCCCTTCCCCCTCATTATGCCAGAAAGCCCCTCACATAATGTTCTCCGCTTGGATCTGATCTCAACAGGGTGTCGTAGTCAGTCGTCAGCACAGTTCTTAAGTGGCGACCAAGAGCCCTGGGCCTTTAGGGGCGGTCTAGCAGGAGAGTTCCAGGTATCCAATATTGAATTACCAGCAAAATGTTACACGAAGATATATTTTCATTTGTTTTAGATGTTCGTATGGTTGCGAAAGGATACGGGTTGGTCTGTTTAAGGTGAGCTGTCAGCAGCTGCATAGAAAAACGAAGGGGTGTTGAGAGCCACTTGGGCTTTTTACTGAAGTGTAAACTGAAATGGGTGAGATCTAATGTTTGGGGTGATGGTGGTTTCTAACCCAGCCTAAATTTGGATTTCTTTCAGCAACTGCCCAAATGAGATGCTGCTTTTCCCCCTGCGCTTGCGTCAGCGCAGCATGACTAGGTTTTATTTTATGACATCTTGTTTCTTTGCAGGAAACAGCGCAAAAATTATCGCCACATTTTGTCTGCGCCTGCGTCCACAACACTGCGCTTGCGTGTGCGACTGCAAGCCTGCTCAAAGCTCCATGAACAAATGATTACTAATCCATAACCTCGGCATACTTAACATCTCAGAATGATTCAGCTATCTTAAATGGTCTGTCAAGGAAAATATGTTTTAAGCTGGAAATATTTGGTCATGGAGTTTTGCTTTGCGTGCCAGCTTCATCCTTTTCTCTACAGGAAGATCTTGCGCAGCGAAAAAGAGCGGGAAAGGAGCATCTCCTTTTGCCAGTTAAGCCTTTCTCAGACCAAGCCTGCGCAATTTTGTTTCATTTTTGTTTCTCTCAGAAAAAAAGGTGGAAATGATTTTCAGTGGTGCGTATCTTATGTATGATGTTTACGTGCTCTTGCTGTACACTGACCGACCAGAGAAGCAAGTTTACTTGTGAAGCGATTTATTCCCATGCCGTTATTAGGCACATTCTTGTTCAGCGCCATTGTGTGAGGTCGGTTCAGCTGGAGCAGGTAAACAGCAGCTAAAGTGTCAGTAGCAGTGCAGTCACATGGTCAAATCTAGAGCGATACTAAACTGTACAATGCTTTTGCTTTGGTCTCCACAGAGACTGTTGCCAATTGATGGGGCAAATGATCTTTTCTACCAGCCACCACCACCAATGCCAACTTCCAAAATCTATACCCTAAGGCCTTACTTTCCCAAAGATGAGGTAGGTTTTGGCTGGGCATCAAACCACTGATATCAGCCATTTTATTTTCTATTTGCAAAATGTTGTGTATGCAACTTTAGCCATTTGTATGTTCTTACTTAAAACGTAAAGTCCAGACTAGGGTCAAGTAACTAGCTAGTTTGTAACTACCTACTATACCCTACTTAATTTGCTTGCACTATTTGTTCTTAAGGCAGAACGTAGCTAGTAGTTCATAAGCTTTCCATTTACCTCCAATGATCCAAAGAAAAAACACTTTCTAATTCATAAGCAGAAGTTGTATTGAAATGCATTGATTTTCAATTTATGCTGTTAAGGTTGATCCTTATTTCTTCACGTAAATAATAAAAAATAAGTTTCCACTGATACTTAAGCATGAAATACCACAGTAGGTATTTTGTAAATAACATATATGTGAATAAAGAATGTAAATAAAATTCAGAAACTGTACTTTAAACTTTAAATTAATAAGGAGCAATAAATTCTAAATACAAAAAAATTGGGTTCGTGTTGAAGAGCTGCCAAGTCATTTATTTACATAATCTCTCTTTTTAAAATGTAAAGAAGTGTAAATGTATGTCATCATGTATATCTAATGGTTTGAAGTAAGTTAGGTAAGATATGAGCATTGCATTAATGATGCAATTCAATCAATTTGCTGTTTTATTTAGACCTTATCACGAGGCTTATATAAATATTTAGTTTATACGTAGAGTTGCATTTCAAGTTTAATGGTGCAACGCAAAAACATTTAGTAGTGCATAATTTGTATCTTAATACCCATTTACATTGCAACTGGGCTAAGTTGTAACCTGCGCACAGCTGTGCAGCCGGCCCCAAGATGTTAATTTTGTTGTTTATGTTGAGGACATGACTCGTCTACGGTAAGCTGTCTGTAGTATGAAAACTCTGTAGATGCTCTGTGTAAATAAAACGTTGCTGTTGGCTGCTTGAATTCCCAGCTGAGGTGTCCCAGTTTAAGCTGTGCTTTTAGGTTTATTTGTAGCACATCTGAAGCATTCTGCTGAAACAGCAGTCTGGTCCACCTGTTAGTCCTTAGAGGGCTCGCACTTTGTGGAACGAAAGCTGTCAGATGCCTTCACACACTATCTCTCTCACTCTCTGTCCTCAGTCTGCCATCTACAAGATCTGCAAAGAGATGTTCACTGAGGGCTGTGACGGCATCTCTTTCTCAGATGAGTCACCGGACCTTATTGGAGACAGGTGTGGTTTGAGCTTCCACTTTTAGTCACATTAATGTATTATGGGTGCTTGATTAATAACATGTGAACTTTGTACCATCATCTTCCTCATTGCAGGTTAGTGGGAGGTTTCCTGACGCTCAGCCCAGACTATGGCTTTGTGCTTGAGGATGAGGAAGGTATCTGCGGCTATGCTCTGGGCACTGTGGATGTCAAACCTTTTGTGAAGAAATGCAAGATGAGTTGGATTCCATTCATGCAGGAGAAATACAACAAGCCAGACACAGAGAAGGACATGTCAGAGGCTGAGGTTAGCATGTCATGTCTTCATCAAACCCAACAAACTATTCTTTTTATGGAACAATTTACTGAATCTTTAGACAAAATCTAATATATGTATGTATATATATGTGTGTGTGTGTGTGTGTGTATATATGTACTGTATGTATATATATTAGGGCTGTCAGTTGATTAAAATTTTTTATCTAATTAATTACATGATGTGTTGATTAATCTAATTAATCGCCAAATTACATTTGTCTGTGAAAATATCCCCAAAAGATTATTTAATGCTATTTTTGTGTTAAATTAGAAAGTATTAAGTACACATTATAAATAGTATATTTAAAAAGAAATATTTTAGATTCAACATAATTTATTGCACTTAAACGTTTAGGCTACCACGGCCTAACATAAACTATGGAATATAAAAGAAGATCATTTGAGAAACAGCTGATTTTTTTCGTTCATGCAATGGAAGTCATTGGTAACCAAAACAGCTTTGTAACCAACAGTCTTCAAAATACCTTCTTTTATGTTCCACAAAAGAAAGCAAGTCATTCAGGTTTGAGTGAATGATGACATAAATAAAAAATTTTGTGTGAACTATTCCTTTAAAGTTTTTTCCCCCCTTTTTTAATGAAATAATACCCTAAATAAGAAACTAAAACTGCCAGCAGGTGGCAGTAAATGTCTTTATGATTCTTTCATTCGATTTGTTCAAACAGCTGATTCATTCAGGAATTCAGTAAAAGGCTCACTTTATGAATGGGCCTTTGAATCATTGGTTCACACAATTAGTTCAAAACGCGGATTCATTCAGAAACTAAACACCGCTGTGTTGCTCACAGATGCACAATTCTGCTGTGGCTTTATAGGTAATATTTTTGTTGGCAAAACTGAACAAAAACAGACAATATTGTTTAAAATACAACAAAATATTAACTTATTGTTTACTGAACTGTTGTGTAAAATCATATTTGCACTCAAACAGCACTCGTGTGTTGCACTCGCTGTTGGTGTGATATTGCATAATGTGATATAAATATGATTTCAATAAACTCATACAGGAGCATTTTTGCACCAATATTTTGAATTTTAGGGCATAACTGCATTTATGGAGTTGTTGCCCTGCATCATGTTTGTCAACAGTCAACTATGAAATGTAAGATGATGTACAGGTCTGGGGGCGGGGCCAGTGCGTTAACTGCATTAAAATATTTTAATCGTGTTATTTTTTCATAACTAATTAATTAACACGTTAAACGGACAGCCCTAATATATATATATATACATACATACATACATTTTGATCAAGTTGATAATTTAGAGGCCTTTCTTGTATCAAATATGTTACAAATGTATCAAATAGGCTTTATATGGTAAAATGTTTAGAACAGCAACTTTAATAATTTTTCCCCTATAGAAAATGATGCTAAGTTTCCATGAGGAGGAGGAGGAAGGCTTACCAGAATCGTTCCTCAGTAACTTCCCGTCACTCATTAAAGTGGACATTCATGCAAAGGTTACCGACCCCAGTGTTGCCAAAAGCATGATGGGATGTCTCCTCTCATCATTGAAAGCCAATGGTAGGTAAAGTTAGGTTGTGTGGCATGTGCATTTATTTAACATGATACATTATTAAGTGCTATAGTAATAACATTGTTATTACACAGTAATTGGTAATTAAATACATTGTACATTAAAGCTGCTTTTAAATTCTGTGTGATCTTCCCTTTCTTACCACACTTTACTTTGACTTTAGTAAGCAGTGTTTATAGTTCATAAATGTCGGATGTTGACATGTTAGAGGACATGAAAAGCTGCAGTGATTTGTTTAAATTCTGTTTCATAAACACATCTTTTCCTCTGTTGTCAGGTTCACATGGTGCTTTCTGTGAGGTCCGGCAGATGGACAAAAGGATGTTGGACTTTTATAGCAAACTGGGCTGCTTTGAAGTGGCCAAAATGGAGGGATTCCCAAAAGACGTTATAATAATGGGGAGGAGTTTGTGAATCTGAACCGCTGAGAAAAAAAAAAAGCGTACAGAAGCAGCCTCCCAGAAATTGAACAAAGCTTCGGCCCCAACACGCTACCTGTTCATGTAACTATCACAAGTTTTGTAATGGCAACTCTGGTGGCCTGTAGCTTCATTCACATCATATGCCGAATGCACTTCTAGAAATGTAGGTGCTGTTCATTCACTTTGCCAGTGTGTGGTGGAAGTTTGAAAGTGGGTGTACACATATGCACACATTGGTTTGTTCACAAAAGGAAAAAGAATTGAAGTGGGTCTGCAAGGGTAATTCAGGACGCATGAGTTACTTTGAGTTTTTTCTGGTGGACCGTTTGCTTGAGTTGGCCAAGTGCCATTGAACCCACTAAATCTCTTAGATATGGCCGAGTTGCAGATTGTGTTCAGCATATGTGCATGTTTAAGTTAACGTCTAGATTCTCCAGACTAAAAACTTGCCGTTACTTGATAAGAGACGTCTTCACTTTGCTGTTTTTAATAGTGCTTTACAATGTTCAAAGCAATAATCTAGAAGGACTTCATAACAGTCAGGGTTTGTGTTATTGCTTTCCAGGACATTGTAATAAATTCTGCCATTTTCCAGGTTCAAGCAGTGTCTGTGAGCTCTCGTATGGAGAACACAGCAGCCTAAAGCTATCCTTTGAGGTTTGGGATGCTGCTCGGGTATTATTTAGAAAAGAAAAAACACTGAAATTGAACTTTGAGCAGGCAGAAGTAAATACAGTTAAAGTCCGTTGTCTTCAAGACCGCATGGGGTACTTTTGTGTAAGCCTTTAGCATGTGTATCTTTTAGGGATACCATTTTTTTTATTTTGTACAAAACGCCTTTTGGCTCTTGCCCTCCTCTGGAATATATTTGAGGGTAATAAAAAGTAATTTCCTACAGTTCTTTCTTTGATTAAAATGGTAAATTATACAATTCTGAGACACAACAGGGTTACATTATAATTCTGACATGCTGATGTTTACCACAAAAAAAAAGTACAATAAGTATTGTAAACCTCAAGACCAATGCCCTGTCTCTAATTAGAGTGAAAACAGAAAATAAATGAAGGTACATTAGTGAATTATCTTTAAATATTTTTTTTTTCTCTGTTGTCTGAAGAGAATAACTTTGCTTGTTCTTTAATGACAGTCTGCCTCTTTGTCAATATATTTAAAAATCCCTACAGTTGAAGTTGGTTTCTCTGAAGTCCACTCTGCGTTGTCAATGCTAGGATTGTTTTCCTGAACGTAGGTGCAAAAGAAACTCTTTATTCTGTATTTACTCCCTTTTTGAACAAATTACTGGCAGTTTTTTTTTTTGGTATCTTTTTTTTTCTGTGCTATATTCTGAACAACTAAATGAGCACAAAAGGCTCCTGCAGATTACCGTATGTAATGTTTAAAATGCCTGAGTTAAAGTAAAATGTAAATAGTTTTGTGCATGTGATGGGCCAACACGTGACAGCTTTTTTTTCACCCCATTTAAGGGAAATTTGTACGCAAAAATGGCTGTTTATCTCTATATGGCTTGTTGCTTCATTTTATTTTGGTTGATCACATCCAATGTAAAGGGCTTTTCTTTTTTTAAGGCTTTTCTTTTTTTATCCAATGCATATATTTAAAAAATGAAGACCTTTTGTGTACTTTGATGTAATTATGATTATGTATATGTAATATAGTTGTAATTTCTGTAAGGGTTGTATGTAATTAAAATGGCTATTAAAATGTTAAATAGAAAAAACATCTGTGGTTGGTGAGTTAAATGAAAAATGCTTTCTAGGGCCTCAGTTGCTAACCCTTCCAAACACTCTTATTTGTCATGGTTTTATTAAAACTTGGGGGTGGTTTAAATTGTTAAAAATGGAAACAATCCAAATTTGATTGCATGCTAGTATATGTAATTAATAGTCCTTGAATGTAACGTTTCTGAGATAGATAGAAAACCAAAGTTAAGTTATAATCAACTTACTCAATTAAACAATTAAAGGCTAATAATATAAAGGGTAGGCTAAAACGAATAAATGATAACCTTCAAAACAAAAAGCCATATCAACGAGGACAAATCAATGTGGTATTAAGAATTGTAATAATTTATTGCTATCAACAAAAACAAAGCCCCATCTTTTTTATTCGTAATTTTTGACAGAATTCAGATACTGTACCAAATTCGTAAAAAAAAAAAGAAAGACTAGCCCGCTTCCGTGTCCATGTTGATGACGTCTTGATTCTTGCGACGGTTTTCGCGTACTCGTCACGTGTGTTTTGAAAACGCGACCTGCACTGTGGATGTTATAGCCGCTATTGAAGTGATTTTAGTAACGTTTGAACAATCATGTCGTTTGTGGAGGACGAAGTATCAGACAGTGGAGTGGACTCTCGCTCGCGGTTGGAAACCTATGTGTTCAGTAAGATCAACAATAGCGCGCTGCATGCTACATGTACATTTGCTAACACGTGGGACAACGGTGTTCTGGCGATTTGTGCTACCTCCCATTAAAAAGATAGCACAAATCGATAGCGAAAAATGCTACCTATCAGATTGTGCTACCAGCATCTTATTTGTGTGGTTTGAGGCTTTTTTTAATGTTCATACCTAACGTTACCCCTACCCTAAACCTACACGTGCATACCTACACTTACCCTAAACTTACCTTTAAAACAATGCAAATATTTTTTTGGTAGCACAATCTGATAGGTAGCATGTTTCGTCGGTACAAACGGCAATTGTCAGAATTTTCTCTTATAATTGTAGCCAATGGTGTTTAACGTTCATCTAAAGAACCCTGGGTCACTGTGCATCAAGATATAGTTCAAACGTAGTCGTTTTCTGTAATTCTATTCATTTATGCATTTAAATTAAATATACCTATTTAATATTGTGGTTTTGGATTCCTTTAGGTTGTGAGTTGTCTTCTGAAGTTCCATTTTACACATTTCAAGCAGATGAAGATGACGATGTGGAACATTTTCTCGAGCTTAGAACGGTTCGTAGACTATTTTGTTGCAAGAACAGTGTTTTTCCAAAACTGAATGGCTCTGTATGGGTCAGCATTTAGTTTCAATGCACTTTCTATGCAGTGCTAGTGAATGGTGACTGCCGTGTTCTACAAACAAATAATTTGGGTTTAATACCAAAGTGAAATAATTATAATATATTTTTTTATTTCTGCCTGATTTATGCTTTTAAATCAGTATGAAATTAAAATGATCCTATCAGATATATTTTATAAATGCATGTTATAGATATGAATATTTCAACAATTGAAAAATGCATATATGTATGTTTGTTTATTTAGACCTTTTTTAATGTTTAATCAAAGTGTTCTAACTGTGATCTAATGGTGAAATTACAGACTTCTCTCTGGTAACATATGCAGGACTTCTCCAATCATTTAAGATGTGTGAGTGAAAAAAAAAAGTGATGTGACATGTGGCCAAGTATGGTTACCCATGGGACAACGGTGTTCTGGCGATTTGTGCTACCTCCCATTAAAAAGATAGCACAAATCGATAGCGAAAAATGCTACCTATCAGATTGTGCTACCAGCATCTTATTTGTGTGGTTTGAGGCTTTTTTTAATGTTCATACCTAACGTTACCCCTACCCTAAACCTACACGTGCATACCTACACTTACCCTAAACTTACCTTTAAAACAATGCAAATATTTTTTTGGTAGCACAATCTGATAGGTAGCATGTTTCGTCGGTACAAACGGCAATTGTCAGAATTTTCTCTTATAATTGTAGCCAATGGTGTTTAACGTTCATCTAAAGAACCCTGGGTCACTGTGCATCAAGATATAGTTCAAACGTAGTCGTTTTCTGTAATTCTATTCATTTATGCATTTAAATTAAATATACCTATTTAATATTGTGGTTTTGGATTCCTTTAGGTTGTGAGTTGTCTTCTGAAGTTCCATTTTACACATTTCAAGCAGATGAAGATGACGATGTGGAACATTTTCTCGAGCTTAGAACGGTTCGTAGACTATTTTGTTGCAAGAACAGTGTTTTTCCAAAACTGAATGGCTCTGTATGGGTCAGCATTTAGTTTCAATGCACTTTCTATGCAGTGCTAGTGAATGGTGACTGCCGTGTTCTACAAACAAATAATTTGGGTTTAATACCAAAGTGAAATAATTATAATATATTTTTTTATTTCTGCCTGATTTATGCTTTTAAATCAGTATGAAATTAAAATGATCCTATCAGATATATTTTATAAATGCATGTTATAGATATGAATATTTCAACAATTGAAAAATGCATATATGTATGTTTGTTTATTTAGACCTTTTTTAATGTTTAATCAAAGTGTTCTAACTGTGATCTAATGGTGAAATTACAGACTTCTCTCTGGTAACATATGCAGGACTTCTCCAATCATTTAAGATGTGTGAGTGAAAAAAAAAAGTGATGTGACATGTGGCCAAGTATGGTTACCCATACTAGGACTTAGTGCTCTGCATTTAACCCATCCTTAGTGCACACACACAGCAGTGAACACACACACACCGTGAACACACACCCGGAGCAGTGGGCAGCCATTTATGCTGCAGCGCCCGGGGAGCAGTTGGGGGTTCGGTGCCTTGCTCAAGGGCACCTCAGTCGTGCCCTTGAAGGTGGAAGAGAGCGCTGTACATTCACTCCCCCCACCTACAACCCCTGCCGGTACGAGACTCGAACCCGCAACCTTTGGGTTACGAGTCCGACTCTCTAACCATTAGGCCACAACTCCCCCGATTTGAATGTGCAGATTCTAAAAATATTGCAGGCAAAAAGATTAATTGTCTATTGTCCATAGACTAGAGAAATGAAGCACAGCTCACACCAAAGACACTTTCAAACCAAAACAGCTTTCTGACAGTGAAAGTGGTGAATCCATGTGACCAGCTTGAATTTGTTGCAAAATTTGCATGGGGAAATCTTTTGCGCTCATGTGAAATTCCAGATTTAATGGATTCCTATTGAAATGACTGGATTATGCATGCGAAAATTTGCTGAACCACGGTAGATGTCGCATTCATCTGCCTCCACTTTTAATGCAGGCCCACATCTGAAAATCCAGTGAACAACCGATGGATAGAACCAAGTCCCTGTCCTACATTATTTCTTTTCCGATGGATGTCACAATATAGATGAAAAGATCTGTCGCTGCTTGATGACGTGCTTTTAAAATCATAACTATTTACCTTTCTCTCAAACCATTAGATTTGTCTGGGTGACGGTGCCAAAGAGGAGAATAATGTTGTGGAAGTGACCGCTATGAATCACCAAGGAAAGAAAATATCAGTGCCTGTAGCTAATCTCAACACTTCCTGCCTGCCTATGGTAATGCCACATATTTCGGAGTTACTTTTTTAAATTATACTGTTGTACATTTTAAGTGTTCCAACATATTACAAGTTTTTAAATCCGTTTTTCACATCTGTTCTTACTCAGGTAAGCCTCGGGGAGTTTGAGTTGATGGCTCCTGTCACACTACGCCTGAAATCTGGAACTGGACCAGTGACCGTCAGTGGGTTACATTTAGTTGGTGAGGAATAAAACACTCTGTCGCGATTTGCTTTTAAAGCTGCTTTATCTTTTGTTTGATGCTAATAAATTCTCTTTCTTCAGCCACAGAGAATGAAGGGTCTGAATTATCAGATGAAGATGATGACGATGATGATGTCAGTGAGGAGGAAATGCCCTCAGTCAAACCAGCCAAGAAAAAGCAGAAAGCTTAATTAGAGATGCTTACACCAGACATTTATATGTTTTATACAGTATTAGACTTAATGTTCTACTACGAGACGTGACGGAGTTGTGTAGAATTTAATGGAATTTTGTACTTGCAGATGTGGTTGCAAATGTTAAATAGAAAGGTTAAAGCCTCCATACAACCAGCTCCATGAACATTCATGTTGAAAATATTTTAATAGTTAATACTGTTTTTTATGTGCATGTAAGTAACTGCCAACACCAAACTTCAGATTCACTCTCAGTTCAGGAACTGAGAATTCACACACAGTCCTGTTCCCACTGAGCCACTTGATTGATTGCTGGGTTGATTCCAGATGAATGATCCTTGTAACACACTGTAAAATGATATTGACAGTGACAGCCTGTCACTCTTCTGCCTTTAGGGAAAACACCAGCATTCTTCTCTACAGATATTCCTCTCACACCGTTTTGTTGTTTGAAATTTATTTTTATTTTTTTTTATGCAATCAGGGTTTTTATATCCTAGTCCCTTTTTTAAGGACTGATAGAGTGAAGTTTTGCATGGTGCATTTTATGTCGAGATCAGTCTAGCAGGACTTGCCATGGTTGCCGTTTTTGTATTTTTACAGATTCTGTAAATAAATTTTGTTGTTTTAGTAGAATCAGTGCAATTGTTGCCTTTTTAAAAGCTCACTTTATAACTTTTGGCAAATTTGGTTTTGTAGCACTAGCACTGATGATGAAA